AAGTGGTTTACAGAAGATCTTTTGGGCTGAGGCACTTACGTATGCGAGCCACCTTATTAATAGACTGACTTCATCAGCGATAAAGGGGAAGACCCCTATAGAGATGTGGCCGGGAGTACCAACACATGACTATAATCAGCTCAAGATTTTTGGGTGTCCTGTATTTTATCATGTCAAAACTGATAAGTTGGAACCTCGAGCTAGAAATGCCATCTTTGTGGGTTTCAATCGTAGTGTGAAATCATACAAGCTTTAGGATCCAGTTGATAAGAAGATTGTGCTGAGTAGAGACGTCACATTTGCTGAGGCTTCGTTCTTGAAGCCTCTCAGCTCTCATCAGGTGGAGAGCACCCCGACAACAGAAACATTACAGATGGGGGAGATTGATGTAGCTCCACAGAGTCCAGATAGTATCCACTAGAGTGCCAACTGAGGTGATGCCAGACGAGCACAGTGATGAGTTAGAGGATATAGGTACAACAAAGTAGGATCAGGGACCGACGTCTCAGGTTCAGGATTCTATAGCAATTCGAAGACCCAGGAGAGACATACGGTTGCCAGCACGGTATATAGATACAGTGGTTGTTTATGCACTTCCGGTAGAGAGTGTCAATGAGATGATTCCTACTACTTTTAGAGAGGCTGAATAGTATTCAGAGGTTGATATGTGGCAGAATGCTATACAGGAAGAGATGTAGTCTCTTCACAAGAATGATACATAGGAGCTTGTCGAGCTTCCAAAAGGGCGAAAGGCGATCGGTTGCAAATGGGTGTAAACAAAAAAGGAGGGCATTTAAGGCACTCCTATGAGAATTAAAACTAGGTTGGTAGTGAAGGGTTATACAGAGAAAGAAGGAATTGACTACAATAAGGTATTCTCTCTGGTGGTAAAACATTCTTCTATTCCGATCATACTAGCTTTGGTGGCACAATATGGATTAGAATTGAATCAATTGAATGTAAAGATAACATTTCTTCACGGTGATCTTGATGAAGAAATTTATATGACTCAGTCATTGGGATTTCGAGTTGCAGGGAAGGAAAAGTTGGTGTGTAGACTAAAGAAGTCGCTATACGGGTTAAAGCAATCTCCAAGACAATGGTATAGGCGATTCGATGGGTTTATGTTCGGCAAGTCATACATAAGGAGCAAGTTTGATCCTTGCGTGTACTATCACAAGCTACATGGAGGTGCGTACATTTATTTATTGCTTTATATAGATGACATGTTGGTTGCTTTCATTTCTAGATCCGCCATAGATAAATTGAAGATACAGTTTTCAAGCGAGTTTGAAATGAAGGATTTGGGTGAAGCAAAACGCATTTTGGGGATGGAAATTGATAGAGATAGAGATAAAGGTAGAATTAGTTTAACACAGGTGGCTTATTTGAAATAAGTGTTTCAGCGATTCAGTGTTAGTATGGAGATGAAGCCAGTTAGTGTACCTTCGGGATCCCATTTGAAGTTGTTAGCTGGTCTTTCGCCGAAATTAGTTGAAGATAGAGAGTTGATGTTGAAGACTCCTTATGCAAACACAATGGGAAGGTATGCAATGGTATGTATAAGGTCGGATCTATGACAGAATGTTACCATGGTTTCACGATACATGCATGACCCGGGTCCGGGTTATTAGGATGATGTGAGGTGGATATTGAGATACATTCGAGGTACTCTAAATGTTAGTTTGATATTTGAACGGGACACTGGTGGTGGGCAGTTATGCATTGGATACGTAGATTCTGACTATGCTGGAGATTTTGACAAGCACCGGTCAACGACTGGGTATATGTTTACTTTGACCCGTGCACCGGTGTGTTCGAGATGCACCTTGAAGTCTACAGTTGTTTTGTTGACAACAGAGGCAGAGTTTATGGCTATTACAGAGGCTGTTAATGAGGCAATATGGCTTCGAGGACTTTTGAAGGACCTTGGTATTTCGCAGCGGTCTGTCATCATTCATTGTGATAGCATGTGTGCTATCTATTTGGTGAAGAATCAAGTTTTCCATGCGAGGACGAAGCATATTTACGTTTGCTATCACTTCGTTCGGGATGTTCTTGAAGATGGGCATGTGGAGCTTGTGAAAGTCCACACCAAAGACAATCTAGCAGATATGCTCACGGAGGTGGTCCTCAGCAGCCGGATTTGGAGAGACGACACATTGGTGCTCTTGTTTGTGTCGGCTCGGTTTTGGGAACACTTCGCCGAGGTGGAGAATTGTTGAAACATGCACACCAAAAAACATGAAACTTCTCTCTGGTCGGTCGACTGATAAAATTAATCAATTGACCGATGTCATGCACAACAGGAACTATGGATTTTCTCACTGGTCGGTCGACAAACCATATGTATCGGTCGACCGATGACGTTCAAAACAGATTCCTATTTTGTTTTGGATTCTATTATGGAGTTAGGATATATATATTAAAGGAACGTTTTTTATTAGGGTTTTTTTATTAGAGAAAAGAGTTTTGAGAGAAGATTGAGCACTTTGAGAGGGAGATATTTTGAAGGTGATTGAGATCTTGTTGGTGAGGCTTATTTGGATTATTTGAGAGTTGTAACCCAACGTATTTCTCATCCATCTAGTGAAATCTCCCCATTCTCTTCCCGTGGACTTAGGCATCTTGCCAAACCACGTAATTCTCTATGTTTGCGATTGATCTTAGTTGTTTTGAATTGTGGATTGTACTCGTTGTGTTCTTTATGCATTGCTTACCGACTTGTTGTGAATTGAGTCCGCTTCCGCTAGACGCAACAGTAAAGAGTAACTTTATGTGTTCGGTTGCAACACACGAATACAAATACATTTAACTATTAATCTGTCTCAACTTTTTTTTAAATAAAGGGATAAATTCTTAACCAGAGACGGAGTTAGAAAATTTATCTCGAGGGAGCAAAGTTACATAAGTGCTATCAGATTAATTTCATTGAAAAAGAACACTAATTTCAAACCAAACATATTATTTTTCATTCAAAGATATCCATAAGGCTAGGTTAAAAGAGATAAAAACATATTTTTGATCTTCAATAAAATACTAAAATAAATAATTTCGAAGAATTGGTGACATTATAGCCTGAGAAGTTTTGCTTGGCTAAACCCACACTCAACCTGATTAGATGCAAACAATCCAATAAGAATCTCCACATTTACTTGGATCCATTCGATTCGAACTCTAGTTCATTACAAATGGCTTTAGGAGATGGTTCTCAACTCAACACTTTGGAGACGAGCAGGGTAAAACTAGTAGGAAAAATTGACACCGTGTGCACCTAATCTAATCCTAATATGGTACATCAGGTTATGTTGTTTTCATATAGAACAAATTTTCAAAACAGCCCCATTTCTTTTTTTTATTTTTAAAATCGACCCTTTTTTTTTACTTACCAAACCGACCTGTTTTTTGCCACGTCAGCCTAATCACCCTCCTAAACAGTCGGGGTTGCCAATCCCGACTATTTAGGAGGGTGTTAAACCCCAATTAGAAGCCTTAAACCCTAAAATTTTATGTCCTAAATAGTCGGGGTTGGCAACCCCGATTGCTTAGGAGAGTGATTAGGCTGACGTGGCAAAAAACGGGTTGGTTTTGGTAAATAAAAAAAATAGGTCGATTTTAAAAATAAAAAAAATAAAATGAGGCTGTTTTGAAAAATTGTTCTTTCATATATGACCTCCCTTGTGCACTTCCCTTGTGCTCCATCTTTATTGAGCCTCAACATTCTAAAAGAGTATCGAAGCAGGCATAGGAAACCAAAGACACATTGAACCATCGTCTCTGGTGCCAATTTGGTCGGTAGAATAGGCCCACGAATAATCTATTTAAACCAAAGTTAGCTCACAATTTGAGTTACAAATCCGATTATATTCAAGCATCTTTTCATCTAATTTTGTTTTAAATATGAGATTAAATGTTTATCTCATAATATTTGCGAGGCCAATCCCATGAATAAACTGAATGGATATGAGACACTCCTAACAATATGGAACCCTCCAATGCAGAATAAATATGATAGCAAGATATATAGATCATTGCTTAGAAGGCCAACCTACAGCTCTTGGTACATGATTGATTGATTTCTCATTTAGTGATATCTTTTACGCGACTTTGATAATTTTTGGACCTAACTTGTTGACGACACTGGCACTCAAATGTATCCTCCCACTTCAAAGTAAGTTGGAGCTAGCTTAAAGTTTGCTGAAGTTCTATGTTAAATTATAAGTGAAGTCAATGTAAAAACTCCAGGAATCATGGACCAGAGATGATCAACATCACCCCAACCCTTATTTTTTATTAGTAGATTATAAATATCTCAAATGATCCGTAGTAAATTAATGAGCAGAAGATTCTTCAATTAATATGTCATTTAATTTAAATATCACAAGGGAACATGTGGATGCAATAATTAATTGGCATATATAGACTACAACAAATAAGAAATTATTTATTGATTCAAATGCTTTTCGAAGGATTAAACAGGAAAAAGTAACTTCTATCATAACCATCTACAATGTATGATTATGATTATATTTAGTGGAAGTGAGATTAAATGTAGATATTATGCTAGTTGTATTAGTAAAAAGCAATCACAATAGGTTAAATATTGTTAATTTGACTCTTATAATTGAGGAAGTTGTCCCTCCATTGTTAAGTTGTCAGTTGAAAGAATCCAAATCGCTTATTATTGACTGAACGCTACATATTTATGGATAATTATTATATAATGATGGAAAATACCATCAATTAAGCTTCACCTTCAATTAATAATGCGGTGTTCTTTTTGGGTATCATATGCAAGATGTTCAAGAAACTTCTTAATTAACACGAGAAAATAGATATAAATATACATAAAGAGGTAGGAATAGATTTGTCTCATTTGGTCTAATGAAACAAGTTTATTCACTGACCCCGGCCAGAAAAAAAAAAAAAGCAAGGGATAGATGAAGATAATGTGCAGGTATTATGTGATTCAACCTCACGGAAACAATTCACAAACTAACCTTTAAAAACTTTGGAGACGAGAGAACAAAAGCCGCCATTCTCCCATAAGAGGTTCACCCAGAACAAAATTACCGAACCAACAAAAAACAATGGTTTTCTCCAGAACAGAAGAATCCTTTGAAGGAGGAGAGAGATGAAGATAGCCCATCTCCGTCGCCATTCATGAATCAAAGTCCCCTGAGGGGCTTCAATGACGTTATTTTGGTCTATGTTGCATGAACACAAAATATGAAAGAGATCAAGCAAGCTTCCTTTATCTGGTCTAATGACCAAGTAATTGTCGGAGAAATCGCAGTTGACCTCCATGGACATTTGAGGATTAATGAAGAAATTGAAGGAGAATGACAAGTCTTTGAGATTGTTGTTGCAACTTAAATACTCTTGTTATATGTATGAGTTGTAAGAGACTATATTATTAGGATGCTTCCCATAAGGTGCTTGATTTAGGGTATAATGTTTATGGTGGTTGACACATATTTGTTTATAAGGGTAAATTTTACAAAACACCCTGAAGTGAGATTAATTGTTGTTGCTATAATATTTCTTACATGTATGAGCTGTAAGATACTACATTAAGAGGACGCTTATCGAAGGGTGCTTAATTTCGTGTAATGTTTAAGGTGGTTGAAACCATATTTGTTTAAGGAAAAATTTGAGAAAACACCCTAAACTTTAGAATGTTTTGCATAAAAAACCATCCTATTATTAATAAATTAGATAAAGCGCCCCTGAATTTTTATTAAAAATACCACAACGGCAATAAATTAGTTTAACATGTGCTTCACGAAGGTCCACTTTTGTTATTAGTGATCGAGAGTTTTTTTTGGGTCAGGTTTAATGGATATTAATACGAATATTTATTATAATTTACTCTTCAGGTCTAGCCATGACGGGTTAAAGTAGTTATGATGGCAATGCACAAAAACGAGGGGGTTTTGTATTATTTTAAATCTTCGAGAGAGTTTTCTAATTTACTAAGTTCAGAAAGATTTGTGCAAAACATCCTGAAGTTCAGGGAGTTTTTGTAAGATTTATCCTTTAATTATACTAAAATTTGTTCTGTCCTTCATCTATTGGAAGGCTGTTTGAGCTTCCGTGTATGTTTGCTGAGACTTGCACGCTAACGTACCCTGGGAAGTTTCCTTTTGGTTTTTCACATTCCATCTCTAATCCAATTGTGCAATATATATACTAAACATCATAATCAAATTAATAACAAAAAGAGCATGCGCACATCACTAAATATTGCAGTTGATTATTACAAGATATGGAATTTGCAAGAGTCATGTGTCACATTAAGGAGAAAGGAAGTAAAAAAGGATAAGGATATATATGTTTTAGTGGAGTCCCCACAGAATGACTGTATAATTTGAGTGGAGGACTCACCAATTGCATCAATATTGAGTGTCATAATAGCCAAGCTAGGTCCAATTTGGTAGGATTAATAACTTACCCCAAAAGCACAAGGGCTGCTTGACTTATTGTTTTTTTTTTTTAATTCCCAACGAGGAAACTGACTGCAAATTTTGTCATGTGTATCACTTGAAGCAAATATCACATGTATATTGGTACACATAGCAAGGAGAGAGGAAAAGTGAAGTTAATCAGAGTCTCGGAAAATGAGATAGATAATTTATTTATCCAGGTGATACCGTATATATAAAAACTCTTATGAGTTCTCTTCTCCACAATCACCTCAACAAAATGGAATGGTTCAAACAGAAAACCGAACATATAAGAGATGGCTAGAGCTATGCTTAATGAGTACAAAGTAGCAATATGATAAATAGAGTATATCTTCGACCTATCCTAAATAAAAACTTTTTGCAAGCTTCGTTAAAATAATTCCTCAAGGATTGCACATTTTCAAATTTTTGGTTGGAAATACTATCTTCTTGAACGTGAAAGATTTTTGAGAAAATTTTTATTCTAAAGCTAAGGAATGCATATTTTTTGGATACTATACTTGTGGCAAGGCTTATAGAATATTCAATAAAAGAACAAAGCTACTAAAAGAGTCCACATTCATGTGAGATTTGATGAAACTAATATTCCACTTGTTTCTATTGATATTGATAGGAATGATAAAGAGACCCCAGATGAAAAAGTTGAGTCAAAGAAGACTAATGCACTAGAGGGAGATAGAATCTCAGGAGATGAGTGAAGATAGAAATGATCACACACCCTTAGATAATTTGTGGTTTTCATAAAATCATCCTTGAGGGTTAGTGATTGGTAGCCTGAGTGCAGATGTACAGATTCGTTCATGTCCTAGAGAGTTTTGTTCAAATGTAAGATTTATCTCTGATATTAAACTCAAAAAGGTGAATGAGGTTTTGAAAAAAGATAATTTGGTCATTCCTATCCGTAATGAATTAAATTAGTTCACTAGGAACAATGTTCGAAAATTGGCCCCAAAACCAAATGAGCATTCTATTATTTGGACAAAATGGATTTTCAAAAATAAATTGGGTGAACAAGGTAATATCACAAGAAATATAGCTAGACTTGTCGCTAAAAGGTTTAATTAGATAGAAGATGTTGATTTTTATGATACCTTTGCGCCGATTGCTATACTTGAAGCGATCAGAATTTTGCTTGTATTTTCTTGTTACAAAGGCTTCAAGCTCTATCAAATGGATGTGAAGAATGCTTTCCTAAATGTTGACCTTAAAAAAGAAGCTTATGTAGACCAATCCCAAGATATTATTGATCCTGAATTTCCGAATGACAACAAACTTCACAAAGCTTTATATATGGTTATAACAAGCACTATGTGCTTGGTATGATTATCTAAGTTCATATCTTCTAAGACATGCATTTACAAAGGGGTCTATAGATAATAGCTTGTTTATTCATAAATTCAAAAAAATCATTATTGTGCAAGTTAATGTCAATGATATTATTTCTCATGCTATAATAAGGATATTTACTATAAGGTCTAGAAGTTGATGCAAGATAATTTTGAATGAGCATGATGGGTAAGCAAGAGTACTTCCTAGTATTTTAGGTCAAGCAAAGAAACGATGACATATTCATCTCATAAGAAAAATACATCAAGAAGTAATTTGTAAAACCCTAAAATTTTGAAAATATTATAGTAAATAATGATAAATGAGTTCTATTATGGTTGGTGATCATATCGATT